GACTTCTTACCCTGGTACAGATCACTGCATTCAGTGCAGAGGTTTCCCCATCCACCCTATGGCTTGTGGGTTTAATAGGTTCTGCAAGCTCTGCTATGCACAAGCAGCTCAAAGCACCGTACATGATTCCTCCAGCCTCCCACTTTTCATCTAATTGCTCAGTCAATTTTCCTGAACATACATATTATGCAGACATTTCTTTAATCCTCTGGTAACTCCCTAGCATACAGTAACTTTTAGCAACAGATTCCAGCTCACTAACTACTCTTAAATATCAAAGATAAGAGACATCCAAAAGGGCCCGTCTACATATATTTAGATTATCCAAATAATTTCTTACCTGAGCAGGATCCAGGAGGATCAGATCACAGCTTTTAGATAAATGTTTGTGAAGAACTGTTTTCCCCAGAGAGCGGTTACAGGAGTTGTTCAGCCTCTGAGATTCAAGATCAATAGAAGTTACCTACCCCAGACAGGAGCCAACTTCCCATCTATAAGGCATAGGAGATCCTCAGTTGCCAAGTGCCTGGGGGGGCTTGTGCAGATCATCTCTGAACCAGACAATACTAATGTTCTCATAACTATAGCTCTTTAATCCATGAAGCTGACAAATCCAAAAGAGTGCACCTGCGGAGCTTTAAGATTCAGATGCCATATCTTTCTTCAGGAGTCTAACAAGTAGAGACTTGTACATGCTGCTTTAAGCAACACCAAAGATGGCATTAATAACAGTAAGTCCTATTTAAACTCCCTAAAAGCAAGCTCACCAAGGTCTAAAGCATGAAACTATTTGAAGGCTTTAAATTGAGATCTTTTAAATAAGACCAAGAGCATTTCATAAGAAAACAGTTGCTATTAAGCTTCACCTTATCCGAGGCCTCATTCTGCAACAAACTCAAACAATTTAAAATCTTATTATGCCACAAGAGATAAATGGAAGAGGATGCAGAAGACAGCCTGAGATTCAGGAGGCTCAAAATATAATTCTTTGACATAGACATTCTGCATAAGTTTGAGGAGATCAGAGCAACACTGCATCTCAGTCCTGTATCTGCAGAGCAAGGACAACAGAACTACCCTACCTTAGAGGGGTGTCAAAGATTGAACGTGTTCGCAGTTACAAAGCACTGGCATCTAAACAGCAAAAACTGAGACAAGAGGGAGTCAAGAGCATAACACTGAAATCACTATCTTTATAATAATAAATAGAAACCTAACCTTCCTAACCATTACTGAATCTGAACAGCTATGAAGCTTAAACAGAAAGAAAAAAGGGAATAGGAAATGGGTTGAAACATCCCCAACTTGGGACGCTTTTGTGACTTAGCTTCAAAGTTTCATAACACAAGCTGTGGAGAAAAATCCCACACTGATGGAGAAATGAAATGGAAGTTTCAATAGTTTTTCTCCTATCTCTAATTCTGTGCAATTCCCTGAAATCACTCTGGATTATGTTACGCACCTACGAAACAAAACCGTTTCAAGGATAACCGAAATGTCTGCATAGCACTTCGCATTCTCAAAGTATTATGCAAGTGCCAAGTATTATTAATGAACTGTATATAGAAAGCTCATTTAACTTTCTTCCCAATAAATTAGTATTTGAATTTTAAAAAGCATATCAATTCACTGGAAATAGAATACATCCTTTTGAAGATAAGGAGGGGATGTCAGATGACAAAATTATGGAAATAAAATCAAAACATCTCTAGAGTCATTGCATTTTTCCATCTAGGAAAGTGCAGTTCTAGTGGAAGAATCCTGTTTTCACCATGGTCCTGGTTTTTATACTCTGTTTTCCAGCTGACTTGACTGTAGTGCAGACCATTAATATCTCAAATGCCTTGTTCAATTATACTGGCCTTTGTTGGCACCAATCTAGTTAAGGTAGCACCAAGAATTTCCAGTATAAAACATGTTTACAGGTTTATAACTTGGCCCTAAAAATTCTACTCCGAAAGACAGTGGGAGGCAGGAAGGCTCAGATGAGTGCGTTATATTACATACCCCATGTGATGCACACTTGCTCGCAATGGTATGTGAGGGAAAAGGATTAGCTTTAACTCTGAATTATCATGTGTCACAAGCCACCCAAAAATGATAGTTTTAATTTCCCCATTAATGTAATCAAAGTAATGTTTTGTAAATGTTTCAGCTAATTAAGAGCTTAATTTGCCCATTTTTACACTTTAGTTCAAAAAGGCTTCAATACAATACAGGATTTGGAATATGTCATGCCTATTGATCATATGCATACACAAATTAACACATACACACGCCCCTGCCTTAGAAGTCGACTGCAGCTTGTTTTCAAAAGGGTCAACATCTAGGAGATGGGATGTTACAGGCTGCTAGAAACACAATGCTGCCATTCAAAGAAAGGCTTAAATGAAGATCAAGGCTGAATAAAATAACTGCAGGTGTTTGGCTTTTTCCAAAGAATAAGCTCACAGGAAACAGAGTAAAGAGACCTTAATAGCCGACTTAAAATCCTGTTCTTGAAAGCAACATGCATTTCTGGCCATTGGTATTGTATTTCCTCTAGCCCACATAGCAACACAATACAACTCTCCACTGCAGCACAACAACGTTGAATATAAAAACCTGCCATTAAAGGGCAGAGGGTAATGGCATTAGTGTGGGCGACCCATGCTCAGGTACTGTTCAACTATTATCTCCAGTTTAAGTAGGCTGAAAATACGCAAATCCAGTCAGCACTGTTTTTAGATAAAATTGTCAGTTTTATGGATATTTATAGTATGTGTCCACTCTTGCAGAACTCCATCTTCCTCCACCTCATTTGTAATATAAACTGCTTCTAGCTCACATTAATACAATGTGTTACTGAAATACTTCTCACATTCCATATAAACCAGGCAGCAGATCAATACTCAGCTACACTGAGGAAAAAAATCATTACTTTTGAATTCTGTTAAACACACACACAGGCACAAGGAGGAATAAACGTGATGCACAGACACCACTCCATCTGGATGCATGTTCACATTACTGCTTTTAAATAAAAGTGGCTTTCTTTCCAATATACTGTTTTAAGAATTTTTACAAGTAAGGCCTTTGGACATACCCTACACCAAATGAATCTGACCTCTGCAGATAGACAGACAGATAGATACTTAAACATCTCCGCATCTTACTCTTTCCTTTGAGTAAGTTTCCAGCCTTCTGTATCAACTCCCTTACCTACATACTTTGTGGTGAAATCACAGCACTGAAATTGGAATAGCAAAGCTATTTCCATGACAGCATCTGCTGATGACACAAGCTCAGGTTTATACCTTTACCTTGAATCGAGGAGGAGTAACGAGATTTAAGATAAAGACTTCAGAACCTACTGTTACAGATAACAGTAAACTAAAACCTAAAGGAAAGCAGCCACACAGAAAAATATACAAATAAAATAACTTACTCTGATTCTTCCTTTGAGTTTGCCTAATGCGAAAGTCTCCCTGTGAAAGGCACTGACTGAGCATTTTGTTTTTTTTTTTCACAGGCAAAATGCATACACCTCACCTGCAGCACAGCACTGGCAGTACAATACAGTAAGATCAGATGCAGGTCTGTCTGCCTCGGAGATAAAAGAGAACACAAAAACCACACAACTGGTGCCATGCCCCATACGTCAACAAACTTGAGCTCTGTCACACATTAATTGCAGAGTTGAGACCCCTCCGAGACGCCTTGCCTCCAGCTCAGCAGAGTTTAAATCAAGAAAATATCAGCTTCAACATCCCAACTGACCTTCACTAGTGCAGACTACAAGAAAGAAAGATATGGTCTCTCAGATAGAAGCTCCAAACCACGCTGCACCTTTGCAGCCCATCACTCAAAGTTATGGTGTGCAAATGTAATGTCGGATTCAATCTCCATCATCTTACAAGCATTCAATTTCTCCTCAGTTTCACAGAAGTCAATGTGAGTTGACAGCAGCAAGCAACTTGCACAAACAAGTTGCCACTTATTACTTGTAAGGTACAGAGACACTACTGGAGAGAACCAAATCCATCCTGTTCGCATCTCCAGTGAAACTTGTGTCTTAAGGTTTTTTGCGGTTGTTTTTAATTCTCTCCCACTCAACCCGAGCGACTTGGTTCTTTGTTTCTGTTGGGCTCACAGTACCACATATCCTTTCACCACCACATTTCATCATTTTCACAACTCTAGTTGCCACGACAACAGGATGCAGCTTATCTGTGCTGTTTTCATATTTCCACTTTTCGTTGCCATAACAACACAATCATTCTGGCTTTCTACAAAAACAGCAACTTCAAGCTATACCTTCTCAAGGACACTGCACTCTCTCATGAAGATACACGTATGATGAAGAGATTTATAAACGCAATTTGTAAATTAAGCTTTTTTTTTTTCCTGAAGGGGAATATTTCACTCACAAAAGTGAAAAGCTGACAGCAATTGCTAGAGGCAGACTGCTGAGACATCTAAAGCCTGGCCTTTAATAACAGCCAGAGTAATATAGCACTAGGCCACTTCTGAGTGGGGAGTCCCCACAGTGTCAGATTGTGTCAAACTGCACAATTGTTAGGTGATGTGAGTAAGTGTCCATACTTGTTTCACCCAGTCAGATCTGAATTAGACTCTAGATGCAATTCTCATGTGTTTTAACCCATTGGCCTCCCCATTATTACCACCACCACCACGCAGCTTTACGTTTGAAGGCCCATTTTAATTCTGTAATTTGAGCTGCTGTTGCAGATTTCTTTTCAGACTCTGACCCTTTTTTCTTTTCAGGTGACTGCATTTTGAACTTGTATTTACAAGAAGTGCACATTCATAAGACATGTGAGAAAATGTTACACAAACACAGCATGCATAAACACAAAACAGTGATGGCTATGAAGGGTATCAGCTAACATGGCACTATAACTTCATTACACCCTCATTTATGTATTTCACTAATGAGACAAGCACAGGTGTCCAACACAGTCCCTCACATGAGATGAATAACAATAATACAGTCCAACCTGCTTTAGCCATGCTTGGTATCCAGAAGATATAAGTTGGAATCCATCTTTTGGCATGTGTATTCGCGGCTAGGAGAGAATAGACATAAAGAGAGACCTCCTTTTACACTGGGACCTAGCTAACCTAAGTCTAAATTGTGGATTATTTTAAACAATGCAGACGTCTTAAACCACATATGAAGGTTCAGCCCCCAAATAAGTTCTTGTTTAAATACTACTCTCATATCAGCTGTTTTAAGAACACTTTTCCAATCAAATCATTTTTACATTTTCTGCCATTTTACATTTCAACTCAGCATACAGGTTTTTCTTTAAAATTCCCACACAAATGCACTCGGATAAGCGCTGCCCCTGTGGTGGATGCAGCAATAGATACTCATGGTCATTAATGCTTTTGCTAGTATGTAAAGCTAAATGGTGTCAAAACAGCAGCAGTCAAGCTATGAGAGTGTTTTTACAGTCACTATCCTCAACGCGGCTGTACCACACACTGCGTAATGTGTAAAGATTAAGGAAAATCCCTGAAGAGGTGCAGCCTCAACACAGGGGTAACAGGAAACTACACTCACACACTGCTATAAATTATGCCTCAAAGTGATAGACAAACATGATCTCCACCTATTTGTTTTCCTCCCTTAGCAGGTTGAAGAAAAGGGAGGACAACCAGTCGCACTGGTAGCACAAAACATAACTTACAGCTAGGAAAAAAAAATAGCAAAAATGAAATGCTGCCTTTTATTACATCCATTTGCAGTTCAGAGGTATTTTCACAATCATGTGGATTCAACTGTGACCCCCTTTGTTCAGCCCAAAGGAGATGCATAGAAATTAAAATCACATCTAAGCAACAGGACCAGACAGGACATCCTCAGACACCAAGTCCAGAGTCCTTTCTTACTGCAGGCAACTATTTTGCAACGCCTTTAACAACTCACTGCACTCCCCCTCCAAAACAGCAGATGCATACCCCCCACCATGCCTTTCGAAAGGCTGGAAACCTCTTTCTAATCTTCAGACCAAATCTCTTCAAGGCAAGTTTATTCCCATTTGTTCCTGTGTCAACACAATATTTAGTTTGTACAAACTGTGCCTACCTTGGTACTTGTAACATTGTATAGAATACAATTGGATTGAACAGAAAATTATATCACCCCTGAATGAAAAACCTTCACAGCTACGGTGGGGAGTTAGTCGAGCCTTGTTTTTATTTCAAATTCCAAGAACTAGAACATACTAAAATCTTGTCTCTAAAAAGTACACCGACAGTATTTCACAACGGACTTAGAACATCAGCCATTTTTGCTCCTCTATGGTTTAAACTGAAATCCTCCTAAATCTTTTAAAGCAGCAGCAAGATTATGCCGTGCTGTCCTAGCCAGTAATCCCAGTTAAACACAAATTTTAATAACCACCACCATACGGATAAATTAAAGTCAAGTATATCTGGTTACTGCTTTCACCTGCTGAGTTTGGACTTGCAATGCTTAACACATTAACAAACTATGTTTTAGGGGACTCATTACACTACTAGAAGCATCATGCTCTGAGACCTAATCCTTAGTTCAGCATTAACTTCATGGGTGGTTAGTCTCTCTACTACTGTAAAATGAGGACAACATTTATTTAACCTACCTCACAGGATTGCTGAGAGGAATCACTGACATTTCTGCATGTTTTGAAAATGGAAGAATCTGTATGAAGCGCTACATATTTAACAAGAACACTGTAGAAACCTGTATTTTACATTTCATTCAAGTGTTTTTGTTGCTTTTTCAAAGTAGCACAGCATGGTACACCTAGCAGGAAATGAATATAAATAAAGTCCTCATAAACAAGCAGAAATAATGACCTTACGGTTAAATCACAGTGTCAGGAGTAACGAGACCCGAATACTAATCTCAGGCCTGCCCAGGTACACACAACAAATCTGCGAAAAATGACTTCACTTCCCTCTCTGTTTTGGTCACCTAACCTACATATTAAAGGATAACAGGGCTCTTAGGACTGGCAGGCTGCTTAGCATTTGTAAAGCCCATCAGGCTGGAGCTGTTTGAGCAATTGATTTAAGACACTGATTTAAACCATTTAACTTGAAGACCTTGGTCCAGCAAACATGGCAGTAGCTCTCTTAATATACTTACATCAACAGGATTACTCCCATGCAGAAGCATCTCCAATAACAAAGATAAAAATGTGTTTTATTTAGACAACTCTTACTAACATAAGATCTTTGTGACTTCCAAATAAAGTTGCCCGAGTATGAGCAATAAGAGTAATCAGGACTTTCAGCAGGTTAACAGTTACTGTAAACTCAATTTATTTTTCCATTATCCACAAGTTAAATATTCAAATAGGACAAACTAAGGCACCACCACCCATTCTTCAGCACCATACTTGCAAAATAACCTCAGTAAGATACACCTCCTCTATATTTGCTAAGCCTATCCTCACCTAAGAGGAAAATAAACTATACAGAAGAGAAGCAAATCTTATCGTATAAGGTATGTTACTACCCACACACTGCTGCTTAAGACATTAGAGTGGGACCTGTGCATGAGTGAGCCTTTAGGAGCACGAGTGCCATTGACTTCAAATGCAAGCACTGACAGAAAAGTGCAACTTAATGAAAATCTCTGAGCTCTGACTCAAGAGCGTTTAATTCATATGGATTCGCCATTGGCTAAACTTGATTTTGCAACCAATCTCCTGAACTCTGAATTTGTGTTGTCCTCCTAGGCACACTGTGAATGACCTCCTTAAGAATATCTCCTTCTGTACAGACAAGCAATTAGATAAGGACACCTGGTTAAACCTTTGCAAATTTTGGTGTCCCAATGATAACACACATGCAAATACAAGCAACTGAGGAGGAACCCATATGTCCTTGACATTAAAAAAAAACAAAACAAAAAAAATACCCCCCCACACACACACATACAGCTTTTAAAGACCTGGGATAGGGATATTTATCTTGTTTGAAAGTAGTACTATTTTGTCAATCAACACTCAAATCTTTGATGATTATGATCCATTCAGGGCAATTCTATCAACAACACAATTGCCCAGCAAGATCTACTTTTTTTTTGTATTTTCATGAGCACACACTGTTTATGCTCACGGTTGCAATATCATACATAAGAGTAATATTTTCTCTTAACATCTGCTTCAGCATTTTACATGATTGGAAGTTAGACTGCTAGGGTAATTTTCCTTTTTTCCCCTAACAACCAGCACTATATTCACCCTTCTCAAAAAGTAACTTAGAAAGTGCTCTAACTGCTAACTTCTATCATGGCGTTTTGTGGCTATTTCCCAGTCTAATCTATGTGACTAGTTTGCAGTTCCACCCTGACTACTTCCCCTTCTGAGCCATTCAAGTTTCAAGTTTATTACTGAGAACTTGCTTTAAAAAGGAGTCTGTCACCACAGATGACTTACTCCATAACCAGAGACTTACTCGTAGTTCTGAAATGCAATTTTACCCTGTATGAAATGCCTGCTTTCTCTTTAGCACTTCTCTGTACCCATAGAACTTACACCACTATCTATAGATTAAGACTGTAATTTTTTTTATAAACCCATGGGCCAGAATAACTTATTTTGCTCACTTTTTTTTCTCTACAACCCGTAATTGATATTAAGTAATCTACTCTTCAATTTTTAACCCATTTGATTTGTGCAGTCCATAGCAAGATCTAGAATAACAGAATGATTTCTGAGAACAAGTCAGTCATTTAAAATTCAGTAGTACCCACATTCCATCCCTACAAAAGGCTGATTTTTTTTAAGAGGACATTTAATTACAGGCCTGAGTTCCTATTTTCTAAACCTAAACACAACCCCTGAAGGCTTACAATATTTGAGTCACAGCTGGAGCTGTGGTTACTATACAGTTTAAATATCAGCCTCTTTACTGTGCAATTTGTTTTGAAAATCAAATCAGACGCCGTGTCATAAACAAGTGCTAATTAAGTACTGAGCGGAAATTGGGCTTTTTTGTGCAAGAAGGGTTCTTAAATATCTGCATCTCCACTTCCACAAGAAAGGATAAATATGTCAGAGCAGGATAATTATAAAGTGAAACCTACCATGGTACTTGCAAGACAGTACTGCTGCTTCTCTATTTTATCTGCTTTAATGTAAGAAGCAAGAAATGGGGGGGAAAAAAAATGAGATCCATATGAAATATATATGTACTAGGAATTTTATGAATCTGATCATATAAACCATAATGCTTCCTTTTCCCTTGGAGAGGACATTCACCCTGGGTTTCCATCACATACCATCCAAACAGGCAAGCTAAAGCCATCTCTCTCTGTCACTACAAAGCAACAGTGAAGCTACTTATATTTTCATTCCTTTTAAGTTATGCTCTATATACAAATATTTATTCGACGATAACACTGCATTCATTAGATATAACACCTTATCTGATAAATATCAAGTGAAGAATAGGAAAATGCATTTTAATATACTGAACATGAGCTTCGAGTTACAATATTCACAATGCCATTAACTAACAGGCTCTCATCTACAAAGGCAGAATTAGATCTGTCAGCTCCTGACATGAGAGGGCATGGCCAGCTGCACTGAAGATCATCCAGTTGAGATGACTTCCATAGCAAAGGGAAATATCCCCTGTGGCCCAGAACTTGTTAATGAGTTTGTATGCATTACAGCAATAAATTGAATTCCTACTGCAGAACATACAATTTCAAGACCCAAACAGATATCATATTCTACTGTCCGAAGGAGTGCTCAAAATAAGGCATAGGTAGATCTGTGGACTCTAACTCAACAAAACCACACACAGGATTTCAAAAATCTTTATTATTAGGAGAAAAAAGCATCTCGCCAACACCAAAAGCATTAGCTGCCAATATTTATGTGCACCACTTGTTAGTTTTCAAAAAGGAAATGAACAAACAATGACTTGGTTGACTGCAAGACCTCAGTTTGATACAAACTCTTTCAGAGGGACTCAGCAAAGCAGTAAGCTTTGACTCCACTTGGAAACTTATTGAATTCACCATAGCAAAATAACACATTTTGATATTTATAT